CCTTGTGGCAGATACAGACAGACAATGCCCAGATAAATTTGTTAGTCTCTAAGGTACCACCAGAAATGTTTTTTAGAAGTTTCTCACTGGCGCTGATGGGTGTTTATTAGCATTTTAGCACGTTCTCCATTGGATGCCTGAGAACTCCTTGTGTAAACATCTCTGCACTGAGATGTGACTACCTTCCTTCTGTGCAGCCAATCTACAGTAAAGTGTTGGTATAATATGGGACTTTTTGATCAAAATTTTCAAAAGCATTTGCTAATCTTGGGCGCCTCCCTTTTGAGATGTCCTGTGACAGGGACGCAGCCCTGTGCTTCTGTCCTCTCCTACTGGCTCTAAAACCTCTGGTTTGTAAACACCACCCTTTACAGTCCCATGCAGCAACTGTCTTTACAGTGACATACCAGCATCAGGACCCTTTGTCATAGAGGGGAGAGATCTATCCACTAAGGGATCCCCTTTTACCTTGGTTTTGCTAGCATTTCCCTCCCTCCCCTTGCACTTTCTTCCTGTGTGCCTTTCTACTCTTCTAGTTAATGGGGTTAACTAGCAGCTTAACTCTCCCCAGTGCAGACTGATCTCGTGATTAGCCCGAGCTTCCCTCAATCAGGCCCTTCTCCAAGGAAATTAATTGGACTTACAGTGACCAGAGTGCTGGTTCAGCTGCTCGTTCTCACACTGTCCCAAACCTCCCCCTTGTATGGCAGAAAAGTTCCTCCTTCCCTGGGTTCTTACTCCTTTACTGGATGTGATACTCTCCTGGTGTTGTTCTTTGCCCCCAGGGTGGTCCTCCATGGTCCCCTGATGGGGTTTACTCATTCTCCACCTGCAAAAACCACAATTGGTTTTCTGTCTCAGCCCATAGGTCTTCACGCCAGGGGCAACCCAGTGGGATACTCTCCCTACTCTTGCCCCCTTTGTTTTGTGGCAGGGTTGTTGGCACCCCTCACCCTCCTGGTTACCCAGGATCTCCAGTTCTCCCAGGCTTCCAAACTGCTCCTGCTGTCCCTCCTCCCATCGTTCGGGTGGCGGGGTTCCAGTGATTGCCTAGCCCCCGTCAGTGACCTCTGGTTGTCCTTATCCTGCAAGGCTAATTCTATCCTTTCTTCCTTCTCCCCCACTTTCTCTAGGGGTCCTCCCTTCCCTTTTTACCTGGCTAATGTTTCTCTGTCTAATGTTTTTCCACTCCCCCCACGTCTAGCTTTGGCTTCCCCTTCCGCAGTGATTTTATTTTTTTCCAACTGGGGCCCCAGATCCCCGTCTGATTCCCTAATGGGAAGGGGCTCCAGTCAGTGCCTAGTGAAACAGGATGGAATATGGTCATCACTACCCCAACCCCATTCCATCTAAACTTCCCCATAACTTCCAGAGGTACCTCGGCCACACAGCCATCCCTAGCTATTCTGGGGCCCAACACAGCATTCACCGGCATTCGCCAGTGACTGCAGGCCCGCATGCTGCAGAGCTCAGGGGAGTGGGGGCAGGACTGTGGCGGAGCAGGGGCAAGAAGAGGCAGGGCTGGGGTAGGGAAGAGGTGGGGCAGGGCAGAGAAGGGGCGTGGGCCATGGGGAAGAGGTGGAGCAGGGGCTGGAGCAGCATGCAGCTGCGCAGAGCACCAGAAAATTTGGTGCCCCAAATTTCCTGGGGCCCTACACAGCTGCGTACTTTGTGTCTAGGTGAGGATGGCCCTGCTCGGCCATGGGCCAGAGTTTCTTATCTCCATGGATGCATTCGAGCCACAACCTTTCCCCCTGGAGTATCTAATGAAACCCAAAAGCTAGCCAAATATTTTCAAATCTCAAAAAGCTTTGCTTTGGTTTAGGCATTGTATGAGGGCATGTGACCGGAGTCCCAGGGGGAGCCAGCTGAGGTCACTCAATTAGGGTGAACTGCAAAGAATGGGGCAGACAATCCCCAAAGCTGGTGGATATTCTAATACTTAGATTTACCAAGTCAGCACTAAACAGCTTCTATAATACCTCACTGGCTACCCAGCAGTCAACAACACAGTTCCCTTAAAGCAACCCAGCCTCAGGCCTTCACCTAGTTACCCAAGTCAGACATGATGAAGATTAATGAAAATCTTATTTCTAGGCTGTCAAGCGATTTAAAAAAATTAATCACGATTAATCACGTTGTTAAACCATAATGGAATACAATTTATTTAAATATTTTGGATGTTTTCTACATTTTCAAATAAACTGATTTCAATTACAACACAGAATGCAAAGTGTACAGTGCTCACTTTATAATTATTTTTATTACAAATATTTGCACTGTAAAACACAAATGAAATAGTATTTTTCAATTCACCTCATACAAGTACTGTAGTGCAATCTCTTTATCATGAAAGTTGAACTTACAAATGTAGAATTATGTACAAAAAATAACTGCATTGAAAAATAAAACAATGTAAAACTTTAGAGCCTACAAGTCCACTCAGTCCTACTTCAGCTCATCACTCAGCCAAACAAACTTGGTTACAATTTGCAGGAGATAATCCTGCCCGCTTCTTGTTTACCGTGTCACCTGAAAATGAGAACAGGAGTTTGCATGGCACTGTTATAGCTGACGTCGCAAGATATTTACGTACCAGATGTGCTAAAGGTTCATTTGTCCCCTCAACCACCATTCCACAGGACATGCGTCCATGCTGATGATGGGTTCTGCTTGATAATGATCCTGCTCAATAACAATCGGATGGACGTATGTTCATTTTTATCATCTGAGTCAGATGCCACCAGCAGAAGGTTGATTTTCTTTTTTTGTGGTCAGGTTATGTAGTTTCCGCATCAGAGTGTTGCTCTTTTCAGAGTTCTGAAAGCATGCTCTATGCCTCGTCCCTCTCAGATTTTAGAAGGCACTTCTGATTCTTAAACCTTGGGTCGAGTGCTCTAGCTGTTTTTAGAAATCTCACATTGGTATCTTCTTTGTGTTTTGTCAAATCTGTTGTGAAAGCGTTCTTAAAATGAACAACATGTGCTGGGTCATCATCCAAGACTGCTATAACATATATAACAAAAATATGGCGGAATGCAGGTAAACCAGAGCAGAAGACACACAATTCTCCCCCCAAGGAGTTCAGTCACAAATTTAATTAAGGTATTATTTTTTAATGAGCATCATCAGCATGGAAACATATCCTCTGGAATGGTGGCTGAAGCAAGAAGGGACATATGAATGTTTAGCATATCTGGCACACAAATACCTTGCAACACCGGTGACAAAAATGCCATGTGAATGCCTGTTCTCACTTTCAGGTGACATTGTAAATAAGAAGCAGACAGCAGCATCTCCTGTAAATGTAAACAAACTTGTTTGTCTTAGCAATTGGCTGAACAAGAAGTAGGACTGAGTGCACTTCTAGGCTCTAAAGTTTTACATTATTTTGTTTTTTAAAGCAGTTATGTAACAAAAAAATCTACATTTGTTTTTCTTAGTGATTGGCTGAACAAGAAGTAGGACTGAGTGGATTTGTAGGATCTAATGTTTTAATTGTTTTGTTTTTCAATGCAGTTATTTTTTGTACATAATTCTTACAGTTGTAAGTTGCACTTTCATTATAAAGAAGATTGCACTACAGTACTTGTATGAGGTGAATTGAAAAATACTATTTCTTTTGTTTAATTTTTACAGTTCAAATATTTATAATAAAAAGAATAATATAAAGTGAGCACTGTACACTTTGTATTCTGTGTTGTAATAGAAATCTATATATTTGAAAATTTAGAAAAATATCCAAAAATATTTAATACATTTCAATTGGTTTTCTATTGTTTAACAGTGCGATTAATCACGATTAATTTCTTTTAGCTAATCGCATGAGTTAACTGCGATTAATTGACAGCCCTACGTATTTCATCATGTAAAAAAGTTTTACCAACCCCAAAGGATTGGACACATTACCTCCAGGTTAATGAATATTACAGATATTACCCAAATACACACTTACAGCCAATCCTTATTAACTAAACTAAAATTTATTTAAAAAGAAAAGAGAGAGAGAGAGTATAGTTAAAAGATCAATATACATACAGACATGAGTTCAATACTTGAGGTTCAGATTCATAGCAGAGATGGTAAGCTTTATAGCTGCAAAAAGTTCTTTTAGATTTTAGTCCATAGGTTATAGTCCAATGTCCAATATTATATTCAGGGCGGACCAATCAGCACTGGGTTCAATCAATCAATCTTGTGGCTTAAGCTTTCCCTGCGTTCAAGCATCAAGCAGATCTGAGATGACATGATCAGGACTCAAGGGTCTTTTTATACAGTGTCCTAGCATCCACTTGACCATACAGTCCTGGGCTAACAATAGGCTTTTGATGTAACCTTCTGCTTCCTAAACACCACCAGTAATTAGTTACACAAATTAACATAGGGCAATTTATTCATTTAGACAGTCTATCACAAACTTCAGAGACATATAAACAATGACATTACTTCACCCAAGATTCATCTAAATGTTCATATTCCCTTTTGATCTCTGAATCCATAGCTATAGTGACAGACAGGAACTGTCCGTTTATATGGCTAACATTTATGAGTACACATATACAATTTGTATCACCCCTAACTTTAACAAAATAGGCTAGAACTTTGCAATGCAAACCTATCTAGCATCGAATGGCCTTAATTATCATTTCTAACATGTCTCTACAGGCTAATGCTGGGTTAATTAGCCTGCAGGATGCTTAACCCTTTCCAGCCATGTGTTACACTCTTTATAAGATTTGTTGCAAGTATATAACCATGGTAGAAATAATGATTTGCATGATTATATTTCAATTAGATAACATCACAGGGCACAAAGTGGTCTTTTACCTGAACAGGTTAGCCTGCCCTCAGAATCAAATTCTACCCCTTTACAGCCTGTGCAACCCTGTTGACTTCAGTGGGGTTGTGTGGGGTATCAGGGCAGAATTGTGCCTAGATACTAACTAAAAAATAGGATTGTTGGATCGTATTAAATTCTGTGTTCTTAAATAGGTCACCTCATGATGAATTATTCAACTGAGTCAAATCTTCTCTCCACTTTTTATGATGATTATTATCCTGAGTTGGGCTCTGTCTGCAGCACACAGAATATCAAGATCTTTGGATCAGTATTTTTTCCATTTCTTTACTGTGTGGTGTTCGTGTTCGGCCTGGTGGGAAACAGCTTGGTCATTTGCGTTCTGATAGTTTGCAAGAAACTGACCAACATGACTGATGTGTATTTGCTGAACCTCGCCATCTCTGACCTGCTTTTTGTTTTATCCCTCCCCTTCCTGGCTCATTATGCTTCAGACCAATGGACTTTTGGAAATGCAATGTGTAAAACAATATGTGGAGTTTACTACATTGGCTTCTACAGCAGCATATTCTTCATAACCCTCATGAGCATAGACAGGTACTTAGCTATCGTCCATGCTGTGTATGCTCGGAGAGTTCGAACAACCATGCTCAGCATTGTTATAAGCCTTGCCGTTTGGTCAGTGGCCATTTTAGCTTCAATACCAAATATTTTCTTTATCCAAGAACTGAATGAAGATGAGATTATGAAGTGTGCTCCTTATTACCAGGATAATAGGGCTGCTTGGAAACTTGTAACCAATTCTAAAGTCAATGTTTTGGGTCTCTTGATCCCACTTGGCATTCTCATTTTCTGCTACTCCCACATCTTGAAAAATCTGCAGAGATGCATGAACCGAAACAAGTATAAAGCAATGAAGCTGGTGTTCGTTGTTGTGGTTGTGTTTTTCCTCTTCTGGGCACCCTTCAACATTGCACTTTTTCTAGACTCTTTGCGAAGCCTGCACATCATAGATGACTGCGAGACAAGCAAAAGCCTAGACCTGGCCCTGCAGGTGACTGAAACCATCTCCTTCATCCACTGCTGCCTGAACCCAGTGATCTATGCTTTTGTGGGTGAAAAGTTCAAGAAATACCTTCAGGAAATACTCAGAAAGCATGCAAGATTCTTATTGATTTGCAAAGACTACAATGTCTTTCAGAGTCACTATAGTACCTCTTTCATGCGCACCCAGTCCTCACATTCTTCTGTGATTGACCCTGTCATGTAAAATAGAATGGGGCAAACACAACCATTCAAGCATGCATTTGGTGTGTTATAAGTATCAGTGACTTTGAAAGCAAATACTCCAGGCAGCTCCGTAAATACATTACTTCACATTGTAGTTGGGAGGACTTAGCTTTCAATTAAAGCTCTCTATTACCCTAGTAATGACTGTGGTATTAAAGCTCAGATAATGTTATAATTTTAGTGTCCTTAAATATATCCATTTTAGCTTCATATATATAATATGCTACCTTACAAGGAGAACCAGGCTGTTATCAATATTATTATTTTTAATCCTAACCCTCACTCAAGTGCTCAGGGACCTATGGACATGTATAAGACATATAACTATCAACCTAATTTCTGAGCTTGGTTTTGTAGTATAATTCCAATTATCCAAATATCCTAATTACCCAAATCTACAGTATGTCCATCTGGTAGCCCTATGTTAGTTCATCACACACACAACTTCTCAATTAGCCTCTTTGCATCTGTAAGCTCTAATCAACAGATTTGTATTTTGTATAGCAGGTCTCAATAAAGTTATTTTTTTACTCTTTTTAATAAAGTACAAAGTATGATGCTAACATTACCATTACTCCCTCTGTTCCTCGTATTTCTGTATCAGTGACACTGCTCCTCAAAATAGCACTTCCATTTATCCTAACACCTGGTTAGTCAAAAGATTGAGATGTTCCCCAAACAACTGGAATTTAACAGTAATGTATGTTGTCACTGGTGGTTCAAAAAAAAGTTTCCTGATGTATACTGCTTTTTTTCTGGTTGTGTTGAATAACCCCTGTCATAAATATAAAGGGAAGGGTAAACACCTTTAAAATCCCTCCTGGCCAGAGGAAAAGCCCTTTCACCTGTAAAGGGTTAAGAAGCTAGGGTAACTTCGCTGGCACCTGAACAAAATGACCAATGAGGAGACAAGATACTTTCAAAGCTGGAGCGGGGGAGGAACAAAGGGTCTGGGTCTGTCTTTGTGATGCCTTTGCCGGGGACAGAACAGGAATGGAGTCTTAGAATTTAGTAACTAATCTAGCTAGATATGTGTGAGATTATGATTTCTTTAAATGGCTGAGGAAATAAGATGTGCTGAATGGAATGGATATTCCTGTTTTTGTGTCTTTTTGTAACTTAAGGTTTTGCCTAGAGGGATTCTCTATGTTTTGAATCTAATTACCCTGTAAGGTATTTACAATCCTGATTTTATAGAGGTGATTCTTTTTACTTTTTCTTCTATTAAAATTCTTCTTTTAAGAAACTGAATGTTTTTCATTGTTCTTAAGATCCAAGGGTTTGGGTCTGTGGTCATCTATGCAAATTGGTGAGGATTTTTATCAAACCTTCCCCAGGAAGAGGGGTGCAAGGTTTTGGTGAGGATTTTGGGGGGAAAGACGTTTCCAAACAACTCTTTCCCAGTAACCGGTTAAATGTTTGGTGGTGGCAGTGAAAGTCCAAGGGCAAAGGGTAAAATAGTTTATACCTTGGGGAAGTTTTAACTTAAGCTGATAAAAGTAAGCTTAGGAGGTTTTCATGCAGGTCCCCACATCTGTATCCTAGAGTTCAGAGTGGGGAAGGAACCTTGACAGCCCCCATTCTTAAACATGAACAATAGAAACAGAGTTACAAACACCAAAGTTATGAACTGACTGTTCAACCATACACCTCATTTGGAATCAGAAGTATGCAATAAGGCAGAAGCAGAGACAAAAAATACAAAATAAAAAGCAAATAAAGCACAGTACTGTATTAAACGTAAACTACTAAAAAACAGTAACGTTTTTAAAAAAAGATTTGACAAGGCAAGGAAAATGTTTCTTTGCTTGTTTCATTTAAATTAAGATGGTTAATAGCAGAATTTTTCTTCTGCATAGTAAAGTTTCAAAGCTGTATTAAGTCAATGTTCAGTTGTAATCTTTTGAAAGAACAACCATAATGTTTTGTTCAGTGTTCCGAGCACTTCAGAGTTACGAACAACCTCCATTCCTGAGGTGTTTGTAACTCTGAGGTTCTACCATATTTAATACTATGTACTTGCTTTAAACACATGGGTAATGGAAGTATGCTTACTCCTCAGATTAATTATTACTTGTGAATAGTTTAATCTACATTCTTGAGACAACTTGTATGAGTAAAGGTTTCCAGGAATTTGCTCTAACTGAGAAGACAAGGAGGAGTATATCTAAGGATATGTCTACACAACAAAGAAAACCCCATGGCTGAGACTGGGGCTCGCAGAGCTCAGGCTGTGGGGCTGTGTCATTGCTGACTAGATTTCTGGGCTTGCACTGGAGACTGAGCTCTAGGACCTTCCCATCCCGCAGGGTCCTAGAGCATGGGCTCCAGCCTGAGCCTGAAAGTCTATACAGCAATGAAACAGCCCTTCAACCCAAGCTCTGCAAGCCTGAGTCGGTTAGTACAGGCTAGCCGCAAGCGTCTATTGCTGGGTGGACATATCCTAAAGCTCTAAAGCCTTAAATATGGTACTTATGGCTGGTAGAATCAGCATTTCAATGGCATACTGAACATGCAGTACACACTCTTTATCAGTGGTACTAAACCTTTAAAAAAGGTAGGGCCACTTTATTTATGTTTCTGTTTTAGTTCATCTGTGTCATCTCCTGTTCTGTCTTTCTATTTTCTTTCCTTTCCCAGTTTATTAAAAAATAGACTGTGTACTTTTAATGCCTTTCTATTTTTTCCTCATTTTTTGCTCCCCCAACCCCATAGATCAGAAGGCACCTCAAGTTGCCGATCAGATGCGGATATAATGAGATTCCTGCGTGTACTTCAAAGAGACACAGAGCCCCCCATTCCCAAAGAGAGAGAAGTGTCACATAGACCAACTCACAGCAAAGTCCACCCCTCTCCCCATAGAGACTAAATATTCCCTCTCCACTTCCTGCCCCTTATACAGAGAAAGGAGAGGTGATATAGATCAAGACAGGCAGCAAAATCCCCCATGCTCCTATCGGTGACCCCTGCTGTTTAAGCAGCCAAGCCTCTGGAAGGCAGCTGCTTCTGCAAAGTACAGTAAGTCAGTGTGGCTTCCTGACTTACTTTGCAGAAGCAGCTACCTCCCACTCCAACTGCCCATCGGGAGAGGTTTCCTAAATTGTTTGGCTGCTTTAACTGCATGATTAGGAGTATGGGGGGTTTTGCTGCCTGTCTTAATCTATATCACCACCCCTTTCTCTGTATACAGAGGGGAGAGGGAATATAGGATCTTGAAAGCGGGGAAGCAGCTGTCTGCAGCTCATAGCCTATGTATGAAAGTAGCAAGTCCCTGAAAAATTAAGCACTGGCTGGGTAACCAAAGATCACTCACCCCTACCTGCGCCCCTCACCCTGCACCCCCATCCTGTACCCCTTTCTTGCACTCCTATGGGGAAACTAACTGGGAGTCATGGGAGTGCCTGTTGTTGCTCCTTGCTCCCCCCACCTCCTGCCAGTGGGGGGGCATGGAAGATGACCTGCCAATCCCTGAGGTGCAAAAATTAAGAACCGTAGCCCTGTGATAATATTCCCGTTGCATGCTTCCCCTTTCATGTGCAGGCATAGCTCTGCTCCAGTCCCAGGAACTTGCTCAGGGCATGGAGGGGAAGGGCTATGATAGGGACACAAACACCAGTGCCGTGTAAAACTCAAAGAGCTGCGGCAGGCACAGCAGAAGGCAAGGAAGGAAATAGTTGCCTCTGGTGCACAGCTGCAGACATGCCGTTTCTACAAGGAGGGGTCTGGGGTCAGCGTGGTGATGAATAGCCCCCCTTTCCGCCCCTGCTCCCGTTGAACTCCTCTTATAGCCTGGTGTTCATAACCCACAGCACAATACAGAAGGGCAGTGCAGGATCCATGCTTTCTGGCAGAGATGGCTGGCTCGCAGGTTACCAGAGCAGTTGAAAATCAGCTGGAAACCTGGTAGGATGCCCATGGAATGATGGGATTGAGAAACCTGCATCATGTGACACTGACCCTGCCCCCACGAGGCATTGCAAACCCTTCCCGAAACAGTCTGTGGCCAGCTGTACAGTGGGATAGGTACCCACAGTGCACTGCTCTCTGTGTCCATGCAAGAGATGCTACTGTGGATGCGCTGGCTCCGCCCACACAAGGAGCTAGTGTGGACATACAACAGCGGTTTAATTATAGCAATGGCTGTATGTCAAGGTTACTTCAGTCGACTTAACTGTGTATTGTAGACATTGCCTATGTCAATGGGAGAAGCTCTCCTGCTGCCATAACACTGTCTACACGGGGGCGTAGGTCAGTATAACTATGTCATACTGGGGTGGAGTGGATTTTTGACCCCCCTGAGTGACATAGTTATACCAATATAGGTCTGTAATGTAGACCAGACCTCAGAAGTCATGGATGTAACACGTTAGTTACCCTTTTATCCAAGGTGCAAAGAATTCCTTGAAAATGTTTTTTAAAACCATACTTATTTTTAATGTTATAAATGACCATCTTCAGGTTCAGGCCAACATGTGATACATTCTGGCTTGGGCTAAAATTTTCTCAGCCATAATTTCTTCCTTCCACTGCAACATGCTTAGTTCATGCCTAGTACTACAATGCATAGCAGTAAATTGGAGCAAGTACACATCAGTGCATTCACTAAGGCCATGTCTACACCAGGGAGCTTACAATGGCACAGCTGTACCACTGATGTAAGAATATTACTTGTGTAGCCACTCCATGTCAATGGGAGAGAGCTCTCGCATTGACATAATAAAACCACCTCCACGTGCAGCTCTCCCACTGACATAGTGCTGTCCACACCAGGGGTTCTCCCCCCAGTACTCATCCATGGCGCAGCTGGGAGCCGGCAGAGCACAGTGGGCTGGGGCCAGGTTGCTCCACTTCCCACTGCCCGGTGAGTGCAGGGCGCGCCTGACCCCAGCTGCAGTCCCCTGGGATGTAGCTCAGGGGAAGTGGTGGAGTGGGGGCAGGGCTGGGGCGGAGCGGGGTAGGGGCCTTGGGGAAGGGGTGGAG